GATTTAGCTCAGTATTGTATTATTTTGAATACTTTGGGAGCTCCCCATACTTGTAACTCATTTGTTTTGATTTTTATTATTATTTCTATGGGCGATTTTCCATAGAATTGACATTCAATTATTTTAAAAAAAAAATTGGGTTAGCCACTTAGGTGGTCTTAGGTGACATCGTGATCTAGTGATCTTCGGGTCGGATTGGATTAGGGTCTTATAAGAGGATTATATAAAATCCTATCGAAAGTTCTCTCAAGGCGGCTCAGGGCTTTTATTGAATTGATTACCAGTAATACATAGTTTGTCTTTATCACAGGAAGACATATTTTGGATTGTTCTTTCATTGCAAACGAAGGGATAGATGATCTACGTAGAAGAGGCTTGAAGGGGGTAGTTTTCATAATAAACTTCAAGAAGGCTTATGATTTGGTAGATTGGCAGCTCTTGTTAAGAGTAATGAAGGAGATGGGCTTTGGGGATAGATGTATATAATGGATTTCTAAATGTATTTCTACTGCTTGGTTGTCTATTCCTGTAAATGGTGCTCCAACAGAAAACTTTCCTATGGTAAGAGGGCTTAGACAAGGATGTTCTTTATCTCATTTGTTATTAATATTGTTGGAGAGATTTTAAACCTGATTCTAAAGAAGGCAGTGGAAGTGGGGCTGTTTAGTGGCTTCCTAATCGGTAAAAAGGAGGAGTCAATAATGCTTTCGCATCTCTAATTTGCCAATGACTTGATCATATTTTGTAATGCCTCTTTAGGACAAGTCAAAAACTTAAAAATCCTTCAAGTCTTTGAGTTAGCCTCGGGTCTGTAGCTAAATTTAGGCAAAAGCAAATTGTTTGGGATTAATTTAGAAGACTCTGTCCTGGAAGAATGGACAGCATCAGTTGGTTGTTTAGCAGGTGTTTTCCCAACAGAATACCTTGGCTTACCTTTAGGTACAAATAATAATTCTTATGCATTTTAGGAACCCATTATCCAAAAGGTTCATCATAGGCTAGCCATCTAGAAGTCAAACTTGTTATCAATTGATGGGAGATTGATTATTATTAAGTCTGCCCTGATTTCTTTACCCATTTACTATCTTTCTTTGTTTAGGATGCCAGCAGTAGTTTATAAGAAACTAAACTCGTTGATGGTAAATTTCTTATGGAAAGGCTATGATGAAAGAAGGAGCATCCACTGGATATGATGATCCTCTGTGAGTCTCCCAAAGGACAAGGGTGAGTTAGGGATTCCATATCTTGATTTCCTCTATCGCGTTCTTCTAGGCAAATGGTGTGGAAGTGTGCAAGTGGAGGCGATAACATGTGGAAGGGAGTAATTTTTTTTAAAATATAACTAGGACGGAGGGATCATCCTACCAAAAAAAACGATTGTCTTTCCAAGTGTATTGGCTTTGGAGGAATGTCCTAAACTCTTCTTATGAGGAAGACAAGATTGATTGTTGCCTTACGAAAAACTTTAAATTCCAAGCTGAAAAAGGTGATTCTATTATGTTTTGGTGGGACTTATGACTGGTAGACTTACCGCTGAAAGAGAAATTTCCCAGTATTTATGCTTTTTCTTGGAACAAAAATGGAAGAATTTATGAGTTTGGAACTAAAAACAGGTGGAGTTGGGAATGGTGTATTCCTCTGCGCAGGAGACTTCATGATTGTGAATTAGCTCAATGGGAAGACCTTATTAGTTTGTTGAGTAACTTTAGATCAAGTGAAGTTGTGGTTGGCTGGTTATCGTGGTCTAGAAATGAGAAAGGAGTTTATTCTATTAAGTATTTTGGAGCCGTCTTGCACAAACCAAAGAAAGACCTCTTCGAGTGGACTAAGATAATCTGGTTTGGGCTTGCCCCACCTAGGGTTGAGATTTTTGTATGGCTAGTAGTTAACGGGGAAATGACTGTTAAATCTGAATTGTTGAAGAAATGTGTCAAGGCAATTTCGAATTCTTCATGTCCTTTATGTAAAGCTGATATATAAAGAATTTATCATCTTTTATTAGGGTGCAAGGTGGCAAGGGAGGTATGGTGTCATGTCCTTAAACTCGGGAAATTCTTGACTGTTTCCCATGTGATATCCCTACCTTTCTAGCCTCTTGGCAGTATGCCACACATGCTCAGGCCTCAAGTTCGGTATAGAGGTTTGTTCCATTTGCTGTTTTGTGGACCTTATGGAGATTTTGGAATGACATGGTTTTCAACAACTGCCCTTTGGATATTGTGCAAATTGTGTTTCTTTCGAAATGCAGATTGGTTTCCTGGTTCAAGTATATACTTCCCTCCGCTTTTTATCCCTTTCGACAATCTTGTTAGTGATCCCTCAATGGCTGATACATTGTCCTTTCCCTTTTCTCCTGCTCCGGACAAAGTTGGTTGGCAACCACCTCCATATGGATTCTTAAAAGTCAATGTAGATGGAGTTATGAATAGCTCTTGGAGTTGTGGAGGTATTGGAGGTCTTATTTGTGATCAGGAAGACAACTGTTTAACCTCGTTTTCTAAAGCAATAGGCCAAGGTCCTCTAGTTTAGGCGGAACTTTTAGCCATCAAACAGGGAGTTTCTTTGCTCTTGAAGTTAGAGATTAACCTAAAAACCAAATTGATTGTAGAGTGTGATTGTAAAACTACTTTGGATTGGGTGAAGGACCCTCTTTTATGTCATGGTTTATTCTCGAATCTAGTTAGAGATATTGCAGATGTTTTTAGAGCTCGGGAATAGTTCTTAGCCTTGTCAGGAGAGGGACTACCACTAAAGCAGACGAGTTAGCAAAGCAGGGGATTAGATAGAAGTTCGGTTTTATAAGAGCTTGGTTGTATCTTAGTTCCTGGTTGAGTTAGTGTCTCTTATATTTGCAAACAGGGATGTTCTATGTTTATTTTGTATTTTTTTTACTTTGTATTAGGTTTTCTGTTGGAATAAAATTACGAGACACTATTTTCCTCCTCCCACTATCGATTGGAATACTTTTTTGTATTCCGAGAAGTATGAAGGGGGGAGGCCTCCAATTCTTATAAAAAAATCTAAATTAGATTGGACTCTGAAAGGGGAGAGGAATACCAAATTTTTCATATCACCACTATGATAGAAGAAAACGCAACAAAGTTTCTGGTTTAGTTATTGATAATAAGTGGTGCTCGGATAAAGAAACTTTTAAACAAACATGTTGTCGAGTTAAACAACAAGTTATTTGAACAGAAGGATGTAGGTGATATTGAGGAACCTTATGCGAAATTTAAACCTTCTATAAAAGGAGAGGAAAAGACGACCTTAACTAGAGAAGTCTCTATTGACGAAGTGAAAGCTGTAGTTTTTTTTCAATGAAAAGCTTAAAAGCCTCTGGACCGAACGAAATTCAACCTATCATTTACAAAAATAATTGGGATACTGTCAAGGATACATTACTGGTGCTTATCCCGAAGACGGAAGTGGCTAACAGTTTGATTTTATAACAGGGCCATAAGCCTTTCTAGTACCTCATACAAAGTTATGACTAAAACCCTTGTTCATCTAATCCGACCTATTTTACAAAGGATCATAGGACCCTACCAAAACAACTTTCTACCAGGAATGGGCCATCGGATAATATTTTAATGGTTCAGGAAGTGGTGCGTACCCTTACGAATTTTAAAGGGAGAAAATGGATGACTATTATGAAGATTGACCTCAAAAAAGCTTACGATAAGGTGAATTAGAGTTTTCTTAAAAATACTCTTCAAAAGTTTGACTTCCTCGAAGGAATCACCAATATTATCATGTTCTCCATACAATCCAACAGCATAAATCCCTTATAGAATGGAGGGAGAACATAATACTTCATTATAGGACATGGCCTAAAACAGGGAGATTCTTTATCCCCGTACTTGTTTATTCTTGTTATGAAACGTTTCTTACATTTGTTTTAGAAAAAGTTGACATGGGAAGTGGGAAAGCCATCAAATTTTCAAGAGGAACTAACATTAGTCACCTATTCTTTGCAGATGACCTTTTATTATTCCTTGAAGCTAACGTGGATCAGGTCGTTGAAGTTCGCGAGTGCTTAAAAGAATTCTTTCGGGCTTCGAGGCTCGAAGTTAACCTTAAAAAATCAAAGATGTTCATATCCCGCAATGTGAATGAGGAGACTGCAAATCACATCAGTCAACTAAGTGAAATCCCTAGAACAGACAACTTGGGTGTCTACTTTGTAGTTCCCATCATACATAAAAGACCGAACTTCGGAACTTATGCTCTAATAATTGAGAAAATAATAAGTTAGCAGGTTGGAAAGGAAAAGTTCTTTCACCAGCAGGACGACGAACACTTATCCAGTTGGTCACAACAGCAACATCAATCCATACAATCCAGATGACCATATTTCCAAACGCAACATGTAGCAAGTTGGATAACATCAATCGTAATTTCCTTTAGGGCGGTGTATCCGAGTATTCTAAAAACCACCTTGTGAGCTGGGATGTTGTGTCGATCTAAGATAATAGGAGGCTTGGGAATGCGGGAAACAAGACTCACGAACCTTGCGTTGATGGCAAAAAATGGTTGGAGAATGTTTAAAGAAAATGATATATTATGGGGCAAAATTTTTAGAGAAAAGTATCTGAAACAAACGGAATTCCTGAACGTGGAAAAGCGAGGCAATAGCTCGTCCAGTTGAGGAGGGATTTTGAAAACCCGAGACTTTGGGGATTACGGAAAGGTAGAAATGCTCAAATCTTCAACAATGGCGACAGAAATGTAAACCAAATCAAACAATACAATATAAAATTAGCCAGGAACATCAAAACAACGTTGGAGAACTCACATACCAAAAGTACAAAGGAACCAAGGTGGGTTAAATGGAGAAGACCACCAAAGGGCTGTTGGATTATGAACTCGGACGATGCCTACAAAACAAATACCGAATACGCGACGACGGGAGACCTTATTAGAGACGAGGAGAATTGAATTGAACATTATTCAACTGATGATCAACTCGCTCTATAAACGCCCCTAAAACCAACAATTATCTGAAAGATTGAAGCAGTTTTATTTTTTCATTTAAAACAGCAGAACATTTATTAGTAGTCGTAGAATGAAGCAACCATAGAGCAAAATCACCAGCCAATTCTCTTGCAAAGCTTATAGCCAGATAAGATAGCACAGACTGCCATAACTATAAATGTTGCGAAGGCCATGCTGGTCGATACAACGGCTCCCTTCCGAAGTGGTGTGCCTCGCTCAACCAGTCCAATGATCGGCACCGCCACTGAAGCCGATGACACGAGAAGATAACCCACCAACTGTTTACATAGCAACCCCATACATTAGCAAGTGAAAGTAGTAGAGATAGAAGACGGCGGATTGCACTTGCCTGGTCGAGGAAGAAGCTTACGTAGTCCAAGGCCATATCTGAGATCAGAATGCCTCTGTGAGCAATGTCACAAACGCCTTTAAACAGTTGTAAAGCCGTGTATAGGAAAGCTATACTGGCTACGATGAAGCAGTATCTGTACACCAACACAAACAATCAACAATCTGCGGTGATCTGAAATGTCATGTTGTAATCTTGTGAGTAATTAAGGGCAAAATTATGTTGTGCTTACATTAATTCAGGGTAGTCAGTGAAGCTAGGAGATGGTTGGTGTTTCTTCTTTGTAGAAGGGGCAGCGAGTATGAGAGCCGAGATAAAGGAGAAGAGAAGCACCGAGAACCGAAGGAGGAGAGTCGAGTGATGATGTATGGAAGATCTGGAGCTCCACCCTGTAGAAGCCACCGAGAAAGAGAACGGTGAAGGGGTTGGAAATGGCTGCTGCTGCTGAATCTGAGAATTGAATGCCACAGGGGAATCAGCAGGCGTGATCCTACGAGCAATCGCCAAAACAAATTCTCTTTCATCTTTCACTGCTTCCTCTATCTTCTCCATTCTTCAGTTGAGAAACTCTCTGAAGCCTGCTTGTTCTGGTTAATATTTGGGACTCTTTGAATTTTTTTTTTCTCTGAGTTGAATTTTTGTGAATATGGTGATCCTTCACAAACAACAAGTTGTTGACTTGTTTCTGGGATTTTCATAGGAAACTGTTAAAAGTTTCAAAGTTTGGCAATCAATTTTGAAAAATATTTTTTTTAAAAGTTTGATAAATGTTTCTTTGAAAAATGTTTTACAAAGTTTGGTAAAATTTTGGTAGATTTTTGTTAAAAATAGGAATGGGTAAATTCACTTTAGTCATTGCACTTTAGGGTATTTTCAAAGATTAGTCCCTAAGTTTCTACTATAAATACCCTTACCCATTTAGCTTCAAAATCATCCCAAAACATTTCTTTCTTCCTATACTAGAGAGCTTTCTTGTGAGTAGTGAGTGTTTTGTAAACACCTGTAAATTTTCTCTCTTAGTAAAAGATCTGCAGCAGCCCGGAGACGTAAGCACAATTGGCTGAACTCCGTTATCAATTTTCGGGTATTATTTTTCCGCTTTTATTTCGCATTCTCACTAATCTGGTTATAGGGAAATTATTTGTACTCGGTTTATTTTCCTAACAACTGGTAATCAGAGCTTTTGGTTGTGAATTTTGTCAAATTTTCTGTGAGGTTACTATTCATTACTATTCACGTGAATAGTGAATTTCGTGAATAGTGAAATTCGGTCGGCGATACGAGTTTGTTGACGGTGGTGTTCTAATACACGGTGATTCGCAAGAATTGTCAGAAACGATCCAAACGAAGCCAGATTCGAGTGGGAGCGATGGCTGCAGACGAAGGGAAGGTGAAAATTGAAAAGTTCGATGGTGCGGACTTTGGCTTTTGGAAGATGCAGATTGAAGATTTTTTGTACCAGAAAAATCTATATCAACCTCTCTCAGGAAAGCAACCAGAGGGCATGAAGGATGAAGATTGGGCTCTTCTCGACAGACAAGCCCTCGGAGTTATCCGACTGACGTTATCCCGCAATGTTGCTTTTAACATAGCAAAGGAAAAGACCACGGCGGGTCTTATGGCGGCTCTCTCCAGTATGTACGAGAAGCCATCGGCCTCAAACAAAGTTCATTTGATGAGGCGATTATTCAATTTGCGGATGGCGGAAGGGGCATCGGTGGCACAACACCTAAATGAACTCAACACAATCACAACCCAGTTGAGTTCAGTGGAAATTGAGTTCGATGATGAAGTTCGAGCTTTAATTCTCTTATCATCTCTACCAGACAGTTGGAATGTTACTGTTACAGCAGTCAGCAGTTCGTCGGGAAACATCAAATTAAAATTCGACGATGTTCGGGATCTGGTATTGAGTGAAGAAATTCGACGAAGAGAATCGGGTGAAGCATCAACCTCCTCAGCCTTACACACGGAGTCTAGAGGGAGAACTTCAGAAAGAAATTCAAATCGTGGCAGATCAAAATCTAGAAGGGGCAAATCAAGAACAGGAAATAAAGATTTTACTGTTATAATTGCGGCAAAAAGGGTCACTTCAAAAGAGATTGCCGAGCACCGAAGAAAAATACCGGCGCACAGGAATCTGCCAACATGACGGAGGAGACAGGTGATGCCATGATTTTAAGCGTCAACAGTCCGATTGAATCATGGATCTTGGATTCAGGGGCATCTTTCCACTCCACCCCATGCCGAGAAATCATGGAGAACTATGTCAGTGGTGATTTTGGGAAGGTTCATCTAGCTGATGATGAAACCTTGAAGATCGTCGGAAAAGGAGACATCCGACTAAAGCTGCCAAACCAGACCACCTGGAAGCTGACAGGAGTGAGACATATTCCTGGCCTCAAAAGAAATCTGATTTCTGTTGGGCAGCTTGATGGAGAAGGATATAGTACAACTTTTTCAGGCTGTGAATGGAAGATTACCAAAGGAGCACTCGTCATTGCTCGTGGTAAGAAGACCGGTACTCTCTATGTAACCTCAAATTTAGAGAATATCATTGCAGTAGCAGATGCTGATGGAAAATCAAACCTATGGCACCAAAGGCTCGGCCATATGAGCGAGAAAGGAATGAAGATACTTCTGTCAAAAGGGAAGCTGCCGGATCTAAAGAATGTAGATGTCGGACTATGCGAGGATTGCATCTTTGGAAAACAAAAGAAAGTCAGTTTTACAAAGATTGGCAAGACTCCCAAGGCAGAAAGGTTAGAATTGGTTCATACTGATGTATGGGGACCATCCCCTGTTCCATCTCTTGCAGGCTCACTATATTATGTCACCTTCATCGATGATTCAACAAGGAAGGTGTGGGTTTATTTTCTGAAGAAGAAATCAGAAGTCTTTGATACCTTCAGAAAATGGAAGGCCATGGTGGAAAATGAGACTGGTTTGAAAGTCAAGCGGTTGATGTCTGACAATGGAGGAGAGTACAGAGACAGTAGTTTTAGAGATTTCTGCGCAAACAATGGGATCAAGATGGAGATAACAGTTCCCATAACACCGCAGCAGAATGGCGTAGCAGAGCGCATGAACAGAACTCTGAATGAACGTGCCAAAAGCATGAGGATACATGCCGGATTGCCCAAATTTCTATGGGCTGAAGCTATCAATACTGCAGCTTACCTGATCAACCGTGGGCCCTCAGTTCCTTTGGATGGCGGAATACCAGAGGAAGCTTGGAGCAAGAAAGAAATAAACCTTTCACACTTAAGAGTGTTCGGTTGTATTTCTTATGTACACATAAACTCTGCTGAAAGAAGTAAACTTGATGCCAAGTCCAACAAATGCGTCTTTGTTGGTTACGGTGGTGATGAGTTCGGTTACCGGTTTTGGGACTACGAAAATCGAAAGATCATCAGAAGCAGAGACGTCATTTTCAATGAAAATGTGATGTACAAAGATAGGTCAACCGCAGAATCAAGTAATACCGAAGCTGAAACAAAGGAATTTGCTGAGTTCGAGGATATTTCTGGAAATGATGTTCAGATCAATCCTGAAGCAGTTCAAAAGAACCACACACACCAGAACTGAGACGCTCCTCCAGAATTCCTAAACCAACCCAACGGTATTGCCTTCTTTGCACTATTTGTTGCTGACTGACAATGGTGAACCAGAGTGCTATGATGAAGCAATGCAGGTGGAGGATTCAGTCAAGTGGGAGTCTTCCATGAAAGATGAGATGGACTCGCTTATGTCAAATCAGACTTGGGAATTAGCTGAATTACCACCAGGCAAGAAAGCGCTCCATAACAAGTGGATTTACAGGATCAAAGAAGAACATGATGGGAGAAAACGCTACAAAGCAAGATTGGTTGTCAAAGGTTTTCAGCAAAAAGAAGGTATTGACTACAATGAAATTTTCTCTCCAGTCGTAAAACTGTCTACAATCAGACTGGTGTTGAAAATTGTAGCTGCGGAGAATTTACATCTCGAGCAGTTAGATGTAAAGACAGCTTTCCTTCATGGTGATTTGGAGGAAGAGATCTATATGAGGCAGCCAGCAGGCTTCATAGAGGCAGGCAAGAAAAACCTGGTATGCAGGTTGAAGAAGAGCTTGTATGGTTTAAAACAAGCTCCTAGACAGTGGTACAAGAAGTTCGATAGTTTCATGAGTAGCAGTGGTTTTACCAGATGCCAAGCAGATCATTGTTGCTACATCAAGAGGTTCGACAATAGTTTCATTATTTTATTGTTGTACGTTGATGACATGCTCGTTGCAGGCTCAAACATGCAAGAGATCATAAACTTGAAGCAAAAATTGTCGAAGCAGTTTGCTATGAAGGATCTGGGCGCTGCAAAGCAGATTCTTGGGATGAGGATCAAGAGAGACACAAAGTCGGGGACTTTGATGTTATCGCAGGCTGAGTACATCAACAAAGTACTCTCCAGGTTCAACATGCAAGATGCTAAACCAGTAAGTACACCTTTAGGTGTTCATTTCAGACTCTCCAAAGACCAATCACCAAAGACGGAGGAAGAACGTGCACACATGGTGAAGGTGTCGTATGCCTCAGCAATTGGAAGTCTGATGTATGCCATGGTTTGTACCAGACCAGATATTGCTCATGCAGTGGGAGCTGTTAGCAGGTACATGAATAATCCGGGCAAGGTACACTGGGAAGCAGTCAAATGGATCCTCAGATATCTTCGGGGTACCACAAACAAAGCACTTTGTTTCAAAGGTGGAGATATATACTGACAGGCTATGTAGATGCTGACTTAGCCGGAAATGTCGACATCAGAAGAGCACTACAGGGTATGTCTATACTCTAGGAGGAACTGCAGTGAGTTGGGTTTCTCAACTACAGAAGATAGTTGCTCTCTCCACAACTGAAGCAGAATATGTCGCTGTTACGGAAGCCAGCAAAGAGATGGTTTGGCTCCAAAGTTTCTTGGAAGAGTTAGGCAAGAAACAAGAAAACAATATCTTGTATTGCGACAGTCAAAGTGCTATCCATCTAGCAAAGAATCCGTCTTTTCATTCCAGGACAAAGCACATACAATTGAGATATCATTTTATCCGGTCTCTTCTGGAAGATGGGATTTTGAAACTTGAAAAGATTAGTGGAGCTCAAAATCCGGCAGACATGTTGACAAAGACGGTGACTACGGACAAACTGAAGTTGTGTTCAGCTTCAGTTGGCATGCTAGAATAACAAGACCAGACATGCTGCTGCATTGATCGAGGTGTGAAGACATATTAAAATCAGTCTTCAAGTGGGAGATTGTTAAAAGTTTCAAAGTTTGGCAACCAACTTTGGAAAATGTTTTTTTCAAAGTTTGGTAAATGTTTCTTTGAAAAATGTTTTTCAAAGTTTGGTAAAATTTTGGTAGATGTTTGTTGAAAATAGGAATGGGTAAATTCACTTTAGTCATTGCACTTTAGGGTATTTTCAAAGATTAGTCCCTAAGTTTCTACTATAAATACCCTTACCATTTAGCTTCAAAATCATCCCAAAACATTTCTTTCTTCCTATACTAGAGAGCTTTCTTGTGAGTAGTGAGTGTTTTGTAAACACCTGTAAATTTTCTCTCTTAGTAAAAGATCTGCAGCAGCCCGGAGA